AAGTTTGTCAGTAATTTTTAGATTATCTCGGTGAGGTACCTGTGTACAGCTACCCCTAGTAATGCTGCTGTTGTCTTTTGGATAATATGATAAATCCATAATGTTAAAAAGATATTAGGAAGGCACAGCAACTCTTTCCTACCATCAGTGCTAAGCACTCTTCTTTCTAAGAAAAATTCATCAACCGAGCATGCAATGAATATGCCAAACAAGACTTCAGTACAGGTGATCTAAATGAATGGCATGGTTTTACATACAAAAAAAACCAGACAAACACCAATTATTCCTCCTAAGTGAATTACACATCTCTTGGGCTCTTAAAGGAAAGCTGTCTAACCAGCTCTCAAGCCAGGAACCAATGCAGAAAATTACCTCCATAATGTGTAGGACCAGAGACAAACTGTTTCCCAGAGTCCTCACTGTTCGCAAACTGTCTGGACCTTAAATTGCAAGACTCATCCTCTCACCTTATCTTCCAGATATTTTCAGCACTTTTCTACCAATCCTGCCTGACTCTTCAGGCATACAGTGGCTGTGCATGGAATGCCTTTGCTATGAGTCAAAGGCAGCTTCTTGAGGACCTGATTTATTCTGCATCCTTTTGGAAAGAAGAGAAAAAAACACTTTCTGAATCAATTCGCTTTTGAAAATTATTAAACCTTTTGTTGTCCACTCATATTGTACACTGAGATGCAATAAAGTAAAAAAAAGGCAATACCGTGAAGTAAAACTCAGAGGCTTTATTTAAATGCATAACCAAGTTTGTTTGCTTCGAAAGAACAGTAACAATGTAATGTATATCTGGTGCAGAGTTAAGTACATCCTTGTCTAGATTTGATTTATGTGATCGTTTCTGGATGTTAACTCCACCATTGTTAACATAACGTCCATCATTTTTATATTCATGCTGCCCGTGGGCACACACTAGCGCATCAGCATGAAAGAAATGTGAAAGAAAAGTGGTAGCAGTTCCCAGTGCAGGAAACTTATTTCCCTGAAATAACAGAGGTTGGTGTGTAGTGAGCTGTAGATCATTTTAAGGCGAGAAAATCTGTGTAACTGGAGGAACTGTGTTAGGAGAGTGAAGGCAACCATTGATTCCTGTAGCTTAACCTCTTGAGGGCCATGTGCAGTATACAGACATCACCCGTGGTCTGCTGCTGTGCGTATACGTGATGTGTCTATTAAATTACCTGAAGAAAAATGCAGCCACTTCTGTCGCCTGCTAAAACACATCAGGAGATACGCTGTGAGCTCAGGCTGCCTGGGCTTTTGAAGGTAGAAGTTGAACTTTGTGAAAAATGCTTGTACGAACGGTTCTGTAAACATATGTGTAATTCATACAAGATATCTGTGTAATTCACACAGCAATTTTGTTCAGTATACAAAGAAGGGTTTCTCCAACCCCTGTGCTAGGCAGTAACTCCATAGCATATGAGAATGGGCATCTTTTAAAAGATACAGATAATGGAGGTTTTTTAGGTAAACAAAACATTCAGAAGTTGCCACAACGATTAGAGATAAACACAGTTCTCAAGGGAAGTTTTATGGGTATAAACAAAAGACATTCTTGTTTGTCTTTCACGTTCATTTCAAAATTGCACTTAAATACTAAATCCTTCCCATGTGAGCTTTGCAACTTGTGTTCTTTAACTAGATACTAGCCTATGTTTTAGTACCCATACTTTCATAGTTGAAGTTCAGGGATATCTGCAGTGGTATTTTTGATTCATTTACTTTGTAATACAATTTAAGCTAGAGGCACTGTATGACTTGTATTATAACTTGTTAACATCAAAATTTTATATTTATGATTTAAACTGAAATTTACAGTTGTCAATAAAGTAATATGTTCAGTGTATTACTGTAAAGTCATTCATATAAACCCTTAATTTCATCTTAAAACTGTATTTTGATTTTGTGTCAGCTGGTGGATCCCATCTGGGGGATTCAGGTGCAACCGCTGAGCTGAGGGCAGAATTTAACTGTTCACTCTTGGCTGTTTTGCCTTTTGCTCTTCTTTTTTAATCAGTCTTTTTCTCTCTATTTCGTATGGTTGTGCTTTTCTTTTTTGTTTGACACTGATCTTGGGAGAAGAAAGAGAAAATGCTGATGAGATTATACTAGTTTGAGGTGTATTGTGCTCAGAGGGGGGCAGAGTTTTAGTCCAATTTTATGCAAAACACCATCATAATAAGGTATTACCTGTACATTATTGTGGATGTCAAAGTAATCTATCATGGGTCAAAGCAATCATCTGATTAGTCCTGTGATTCATAGACAAATCGACTATTACTGAAATGACCCAAAGGATGTGATTTAAACATGATATTCTTTTAAGTCAACATCCAGAGTTTGCATATGGATAGCCTGGAGTGAGGGATTCAGGCTGTTCTGTCAAAAGCCCAGTTTTGAAAATACATTTGCTACTATTCTTTATTGGTATTATGAACTTCTTCCCTTATGAATGAAAATACAGAGCAACACATTATTGTGGGTAATCTTTTTTACATAATACAGTGCTCACCTGAAGCATCAAGTCATATTTGAGAGGCACCTGTCTGCTGATGACTACATTTGAATTGAAAGCAATGCATAGCAAGGTTGATGGTTGAATTCAGAAAATATGTTTCATAATAAGAAGTTCTTTGTCTCCATCTGATGTGTCTGTGCTATGGCAAGTATTATTTGTGCTACTGAAATGATCTGGTAATCCAAAGGATAAAACAACCACTTCTTCATAATCCAACATACAGCTCCTTGTTGGGACTTGGGCCAAACCTCCACCTTCAGATCATCCACAGCAACTATATTTATGAGTTAAAGACAGTTTATGAGAGTGTAGGTGATAATTTCAGTCATCTTTAACTGAAAAAAACAGATATTAACTTAGATAAAAGTTAGTGGGAGCAACTACTACTTTTCAATGTACGAAAGTAAAGTTTTTTGGACTTAAAAATTTAAACTTATTACCTGAAAGTAGTGACCATTTGGGGGCAAAGATGGAAATATGAAAGTTGGAAAGTTGAGAAACAGCTAACACAAGTTTAAAAAATGAATTTAATTTAAGAGTGCTTTGTTATCCAGGAATTAAACTAAATGCTAGCCATTTCATAGCAGCTCTGTATAATTAAAAAGAAATACAAAAACAAGTCTACAGGTTCCACTACGTGTCACTGCCACTGGGTAACTGTTCACACATTAGTCACTCCTTCAATGGGCCATGAAATCGTTTCAGCTTTTAAAATGTGTAAGAGAATTAAGGCAGGTGCTGACACATCATGAATGAAAGCTTAACCTTCAGGCTGGTACAGTAGTGGCATTGTTACTGTTTGCATTCTGGAAAACACATGGCTTGTCAAGTTGCAATAAAATTATTTTGTGCTTTTATATTGTTAAAACTCAGTGCAGTCTTTGGACTGCCTGTGAGAACCATGAGACTTACTGATGGAAATTATGTTGATACTCAGTATGTAAAGATGGGTATTTTTGATGTTACTGACTTTGTGTCACTCAATAGCTGTTGGATTACTTAATAAGGAAGAAACTTGCTACAGAATGTGCTCGCACATCTGGTGTTGGAGAAATCAAATACTGAACCATCGGTGATCAAAAAAACCTTAACTACTTCTCTGAAAATCCTCTCAGAATAATACTAGTCCTAAAAACAGCAGATAAAGTGATATTTTAATATCACAGTAGAACAAATATTCAGGTTTTTTTCATGAAAGGAGATGGAAAAATAGAGAATAGAGAGAGTCATCTTCAGTTCATGGATATTTTTCATGAGCTCTTATTTAAGCCTGGAATCCAGTGAATTGCTATGGAGCTTCTTATCTCAAGAAATCATTACTATTCTCTCAAAGGAGAGTTTAATCTTCAGTTTCTTACAAGGTTCGTCTTACAAATAAAACTGTATTGAATCTCACTACCTTTGACCAGTTGTCGAAGTTTCTGTCCTCCCTTTTTCCAAACCTTACACCAGATTGTCAAAAGGAAAACACCACTACTGTATGTGAGCTTCTGTTAAAAGTTCAGATGAAATTATTAATGAAATCATTATGAGTTTTAGAAAACCTGCATTTTTTTTTGCTAACAATAAGGTAATTTAATTACTCTAATTAGTGATTTAATCACTGTATAAAAACTGCCTTGATTTTTGTGTCACATTTAGCCCTATATGAAAATCTCTTAATACAGCATTAGGGAATTAGAATTATCCTGGTACTGAGTGAAAACAACATATTCTGTTGTGTGACCAGAATTGCATGTATTTTCTGAATATACCTGATTTCCTAATTGCAGAACTAAAATATTTTCTTCGTTTATGATTTGCCTTAATATGTAGGAAGGACAGCAGACAATACAATAGGACTGTTAACCTATTCTTGCTTTTTTCTCTCTTTTATGTCATTTTCCAAAAGTGGGCACACATTTATGTTTTCAAACTGTATTTTGAGGTCTCTTTTCGTGTCACTTTTTTGGTTTTATACCCAAGATGGCCTTGTCTACTAGTGCTATGCGATTTGTAATATATTCCAATGACACTTCTGTGAGGTAATATTATTTTCAATTGCGTAGCTAGGGAACAGGCACAGAAGAGTAGGTGCAGCTTTCCTGTACCTAACTCTGCCTAGTCATTTAGGCTTCCTCTAGTCATCTACAGTTAAGGTGATATATCACACCCCCCCCAACCCGACCAGTGACTTAGCTTGGATCACGTGGAATTCTGTGGCAGGCAGTGTACTGAACTCAGATCTTCCAAGAGCTACATTAGCACTCTTTTTATTGGAATGTACCTCCTTTCTGAAATAAACAAATATATTATGCTGAAGTACAGTGATTTGAATACTGCTCCTTCATGTGGATCAGCAAGAAGCATAAACCTTATGATTATTTTATCACTATTTTAAAGGTTTTGATATTTCGCTTATTAAATAGTTGATAAAGTCATCCATCATCTTGGTTTTCATGGTTTCTATACTGATTGCTTTCCACAGATACTACACTCTCAGGGGAAATCGGCACCAAGAAAAAAGTGAAAAGACTGTTAAGTTTCCAGAGGTATTTCCATGCATCCAGGTTACTGCGAGGAATTGTACCACAAGCCTCTCTGTACCTACTGGATGAGGACTACCTTGGGCAAGCAAGGGTAAGACAGGTCTCCAGATCTCCATTTCCTTTAATAATATTACAGAGAGTGTAAATTTTGTTTCAGTCTTCGGATAAACAAATTTATGAGTGATCTTTCTTAAATGACCCACATTACATGCCCACCTCGCAGCAAACAGACTGTCATTCCTCTTTTATGGTTACAGCTTTAAAGGCTCAGGTCTCAAAGCAGCAAGAAAATGTCTAAATCTATTCAGCATTTTAGATTCCAACAACCAAAATTATAATCCGGATTTATTAAAGGACGGAAGGATCTCTGGCTAAGTTACTGATTTAAGTAAGTGCAGCCTTGACACGGGATTTAATTCATCCACTTGAAAGAAACCAGATGTCTCTCAGCTGGTATGGAACCCATTAGGCACCCCACAATAGTCCTCCATAATGGCAAAGGTTAGGAAACAGGGAACATTCACTGCAAAGAACTTCACAATGATCAAAATATAATTATATTATTTTGCAGCTCTTATACTCACTTTGAATGGTATTTTCTAACAAAACTTGCACAACTGGTGTTATTGGGATTATGTGCCTAGGCAATTTCTATTCTCTGCAAGGTGTTGGAAAGTAATGAAGAATCCAGAACGAGTTTGAATATAGACTAAGAGATGGGAGTGAATGCATATTTCGTTCACGCACACGCCATTGTAGGTCATACAGCTAGTCCAGACTCAGTCTCTTGACTGAACTTATGTAGCTGTAAAAACATTGTATATGGTGGTAATGATGGATTCTTCTGCATGTCTGAGTGGGCTTCGCAGCAGCACTGTAAGTTTATAAAAACTATTCCTGCTTATTGGTTTGTTTAGCAAATTGTAACTCATATTCACCATGAGAGCTAAGATTTTAATACATTGTATTAAAAACCTAAACACTGATTTTGGGGACATGAAAGAACAATAAAGAATTTGTGTAGTAAAAGGGAATATTTTCATTATTTTTGGTTTATATTATTCCTTGTTTTGAGCTCCATCTAGAAGACATTTTTAGTATTGAGTTCAAAACCTCCTCAGTTAAAAGTGCAAGTGATATTTTATGCAGTACAGCTACATTTGGTGCCTGATGTTTGATATTTCAAGTACACCTCTATAGCTTTCCTGAATAAAACTTCACAGAATCACAGAATGTGATGAGTTGGAAGGGACCCACAAAAAGGGATCATTGAGTTTAACTCCTGGCCCTACACAGGACCATCCGCAAGAGTCACACCACGTGCATGACAGTGTCATCCAAAAGCTTCTTGAACTCTGTCAGGCTTGGGGCTGTGACCACTTCCCTGGGGAGACTGTTCCAGTGCCCAACCACCCTCTGGGTGAAGAACCTTTTGATTGATTAACATGGAATAATAATTAAAATCCGCTTTACAGTTTGACACACCAGTCATTTCCCTTTTCATATTTGTTTTTTCCAGCATATGCTATCCAAAGTGGGAATGTGGGATTTTGACATTTTCTTGTTTGACCGCTTGACAAATGGTAAGTAATTTTTTTTAAGCCTTTAATATCTCTCATATATGACTAAAGAAATCCCTAATTATTTGCTAAACGTTTCCAGTTTAGATAACTGAAGATAAATTTGCCTTTTTTAACTTCTCTTAAAATCATATCCTGGAATTTTATCAGGCTTTTACTGAACTATAGGCTAATGTTTAAAGTGTGCTTTTGTATTAATCTAACCTCCTACATTTGTTGTGGTCACCTCTTCAAGAAGGTGTTTCTGTTTCCTTTACCTGGGAAATTGCCAAGCTATTTTAAATATACCTTTTAGATACAGTGGTCAATAATTCCAGATTGCCGTAATCAGTCAATTTCTCTTGATACAAAAGACCTTTAAGTAAACATACCCTTGCTTCTGTTCAGCATCAAAAATTAGGAAATTTATTAAGACAGTAAAAATATGTGAAATGTTTTCCCTAAATGCCTGTAACATATGCCTGTAACGTATTTCCTTATCTTTCTTTGCCCCTGCTCAGTAGTTAGGACCAAATAAGTTTTCATGTCCTTTTTGTTCATATATTTATTTTCTTTCTGGAGTTATTTGAAATAAGGAAAGACTCCCTTCAAACATAGTTTGTATGTTGTATGGGCTTGGTTTGTCTGGGGTGTTTTTCCTAACTTTTCTGGAAACATTGCTGCTGAATTAACCAGTGCAAACTTTTTAAAATATTGTGTATATGTATAGTTGATCATGTAATACTAGTTAGGCTCGATTTTGCCAATGTTCCCAGTATTGGATTGTGGTGGGTTGACCTTGGCTGGATGCCAGGTGCCCACCCAGTCACTCTATCACTCCCCAGCTGGACAGGGGAGAGAGTAAGGTGGAAAAAAACTCATGTGTTGGGATAAGGCAGTTTATTTAAAGCAAAAAGTAAAGCAGAAGCTTACGCGTGCAAAAGCACAGTGAAGCAAAAGATAGCGGGGTTCATTCTCTACTTCCCATCAGCAGTGATGGTCGGCCACTCCCGAGAAGCAGGCCTTCGGTACACGTGACGGTTTCTCAGCAGGCAGCCATTGGAGACAATGAATGCCCACCCTCCTGCTCTGTGCCTTAGCTCTTATATCTGAGCTGATGTCACATGGTCTGGAATATCCCTTTGGTCAGTTTGGGTCAGCTGGCCTACTTGGGTCTCCTCCCAGGATCTTGCCCTCATTTGAGGAAGGAATGTCACAGTGCTGATGCTGTGCTCAGCAGCAGCCAAAACACCAATGTGTTATCAACACCCTTCTAGCTGCCAATGCAAAGCACAGCACTGTGAGGGCTACTGTGGGGAAATGAACTCCAGCTCAGCCAGACCCAATACATGGATTTACAGTAAGGCCAGTGTAACATTACAGTGGGACTTGAGACTGTAAGTGCTGCAACTCATTTTTCTTGTCTGTGTCATCATTATGAGATGCAACTGTAGCTGAGCTAAGTACATGGGCTAATTACGTTTGTACAGCCATGCATAAAATAAAAAATTTAATTACAAACTGCTGCTTTTTAGTAATTAATTAATTAGTACAGTATGGCAAACCAAAGTGGCAGAAAAGCCATTCTCCTTTCTGCTGTTTCTAGAGGTAGACCTGAATTATGAAGATGATGTCATTCGCAAACAAGCCTGTCATAAGACTTCCAGTTAAACCATGTCAGTTTACCTTCTTCCGGTTAAAACCATAGTTTGCCTGTGTCATGTTGAAAACACAAAAGTGACTTCATGGCAGCTAGACACAATAATGGTACTCCATTGGTACAACTGTGCCATCAACTCTTGATTATATATAGGAGTACCTTATATAAGTGACTTGTGAGTATATGAGTGTCATCTAAGCTCATATGATACGACCTAAGGTAATAGGAGCTGATTAATAGGAAATTACCAAGATTTTTAGTCTTGCTTGTTTTGCTACTGCTGTTAAGGGAATCTAAGAATTGTTCCTTTCTGCTTTTAGGAAACAGTCTCGTAACACTGCTTTGTCACCTCTTCAATGTGCATGGACTTATTCACCATTTCCAGTTAGACATGGTTACATTACACAGGTTTTTAGGTAAGTGCTCACCTCAAAGCCATCTTTGAATTAAGTTTGCAGCTTAAGTAGAGCTTCAGAGAGGGCACTGGTCTGTGTATCTACATAAAAATCATGCTGTCGTTGCAAATATTTCAGTAAAGCATTTCTATGATATATGTTGGCATACAGTTTACAGGCACTCAGGTACTTGGTTCAGTACCTAGTCAATGGAGGGGCTTCAAAAGGCTCTGCATTGGGCTGAAGCATCCCAGTACCACAATCGTTCTGGTGATTTCACATAAACTATTCCGTGCAGACATATGGCCAAGCTGTAGGCCCACACAGACAGACAAACAGACAGACACTGCAGAACTGAAACGTGCTCAGTACGATTGTGGTGTAGTATAATTATTTTAGTGACTAACAGACCACTGAGACCCAGAGCAGTTAAAAGCTTATGTGCAAAATTTAACAAATTATATCAAGCTGTCTGCACTGAATGGTGTTGATGAAAGCCCCTGCTGCTGTTACTGCCAACACAGATATTAGCCCCATGCTGTCAGTGAACCAAAAGAAGAAATTGGCCAAAATCAATTACTTTTTGCATCATGTTTTGAATGCAGCTGAATGCCAGTTTGTTAGGCTGTCAGGAGGAGTTTCCAAGTCAGGGTCTCTTCTTTAAGAGTGCCTAATTGTTGCTTCTGGAAAGCATTCCTCTGGTATGGAGAGACAAAATCTCCCTGCTGTTTCTAATTCCTGTGGGCAGCCATGAAGTGGACACTCAGGTCATTAGAACCAGTGGTACTCAGAGTTCAAAGGATTACCCACTCTACCTCCAGAGCTTGTGAAGTTGGAAACAAACAGAAGGCTAGGACTTTCTTTGGTGTTCCCTCTGCTGGCAACGAATGCCACAGGAAATTTGCCTGTTACCTTTCTGTTTGATTGATTAGATACTGTCTAGGAGAGTGCTTTGGGCAAGATCACATGCAGCTTCCACTGTTCACGTGGTGTTGTCCCAAGACCACCTAATGGTGCAGGCACTGCTGCAAGGAACAAATGGGTGTGAAGCACAGACCTCAATGATTTTTCTGTGCAAGTGAAAGCTGAGAGTTAATAGGTTGGTGCTCCTGATCCAGCTGGACCAGTTCCAGCACTGTAAACTAAAGCAAGAAGGACTGGTATTTAAAAATGAACACATAGATGTGACTAAAATTATCACAGGAGATTTTGCTGTGGATACCCCAATGCTTTATCTTTTGATTCTATGCCTGGGGGATGTAGAAATGCCTTTGGCTGTAGTTCATCACTCAAATAACAAATGATGCCAGGATATCAGGGCCTTACTAACTGCTGTTATAAAATAGGTGGTATTGTCTTAATGGCACACTGCTACCCTATGGCAGCAGCCTAAATAATTACACACCGTTGTGGATAAATTTGCCTCTCTTCCTTGTTTATTTTACTCCTGAATGAGAGCCTTCACTAAGGCAAGAAAGAGTTGATTTATGCACTATACCCACTCTATCCCCTCAGGCCTCACAAATCCTTTCATGCATTTTTTTCTCTAAAGGTGTCCCAATAAGAGCAGCAATCTAAATAAACTACAGCAATTTGAAGAAAGTCCTTAGACAGCTGACTGCAAAACCTCAGATTGTATTTTAAGTCCAGTTCCCACTTGTGGCCATGGCATTCAGAGACAAAAGGATCTTTGTTTTCTGTTTTGATTCCCAGTTATGGTTCAAGAAGATTACCATAGCCAAAACCCATACCACAATGCTGTCCATGCTGCTGATGTCACACAAGCTATGCACTGCTATCTGAGAGAGCCCAAGGTAATGACAACCTTTCACACTTATGTTGCTTTCAGATGATTCTCGGATTTTTTTCCCAGGATTGAAATAAAAAGATGTTTTTAGATAGCGAGAAGTGATTGCGTGCTGGAAGTCACCAACAAGTCAGGAGCAGTGTCAGCTACAGATTACAGACATTTTAATCAAGCTACTAGAGTCACTTCTCATCATGCAGGCAACGTGTCTAAATGCTGTCAATATGAGCTCCATCCACCACGATGGTGTGTACCAGCCACCCAGCAGTGGCTGCAGTTCTTCTCCCATGAAACTCAGCAGAAGGCAATGCATACCTGTGCCTCAGTCACCTCAGGGCATAAGGTCCTCTCATCAGTATTTTAAAATACCAGATTGGGCAGTGCCACACCAGGAAAGGGCAAAACAATCCCTTCAGATGGGTCTGTTGCAAGGGTGTCCTCTGCAAAAGTAAACAGGAGCATTTGGCTGCTGTAGCAAGTCCTCACAGTGTCAGGATGTGACATTACCTTATGTTATTGGAAGGCACTGTGATAGTGGAGTGCTGAGCCACAGTACAAGAACATGACTAGTCTTTCCTGGCTTAACTTAAATGAAAGGATGTTCTGCTAGGACTAGCAGTTTGTTACACGAGAATATAGTAATGTTAAGTGAGGGCAGAAGCAGGCCCCAGCTTTCCTGTATTTTCATCTCCTGCAAGATCTGCAAGTCCCTTCTGTCAAGACTTGCAGAGGACAGCCAATATCCAGAACCTGTACCATTACTGCTCTTCAGTTCTCATCTTGGGATGCTTCTTTCATCTCACAGACCTGTACTCTGTACAGACTCATCAGGCTGGTAATAGCTGCTTCACTGTCAGAAACAGAAAATGCTAAGACTTCCTTTCATTTCCTTTCAATTATAAGAAAATTTGCTTTTAAATGAGGTCTATAGCAGAAAAAAATCTGGACAGGTTTTCAAACTTGGATGTTTGAAATTAGAAAGGTAAATTATATTCTCTAACAAAATACATATAGTTGAACTGAGATAGCTAACAGCCAAGTTTGAAATTTCAAAAGCTGATAAACTCTGCATTTTATTACAGTGCCATGCTAGAAAAATGAAGCCTAATCTATTGTTGGCATTACTAAATACTGTGTGAGGCAGAGCTCTCACCATGTACGCTAGCGTAGCCAACCTGCCAGTATACTTGTTTAATTTTTTAAACTGAATGTTTTAGACTATGCTTAAGCACTTCTATTACAACACTCCATATATTGCCATGAATGATAAAAGAGATAAGAAATACAAACTGTAATAAAACATGATTATATAGTCTAATATCTTTAAAGACGTTTGTTTAACCGTCACCTTAAAAACGTTCACAAAATTTATTTTGTATTTGACATTTGTATACAAATGCCTACAAAACCAAGCAATGCTAGCTGGTTTGTTTATTTGCCCAAAAAAGAAAAAGTGTTTACTGTTCATGCTGTGATTAACGTGTGTGATGATTCAGCTTGCCAACTTCCTCACCCCGTCGGACATCATGCTGGGACTGCTAGCTGCTGCGGCCCATGACGTGGATCACCCAGGGGTCAACCAACCCTTTTTGATTAAAACGAAACACCACCTTGCCAGCCTGTACCAGGTAAAACTGCTCAAGTTGCTAGCATGTGAAATGGTGTCAAGGAGAGTTTAAGCAATTTGCAGTGAACTCTAATGCCAAAATCTGGCAGTGGGAGGATGCTGGTCAAGTCATCCTGCACTTCAGAGTCTGGACAATTTCAGTTAAGCTCTTCACCAGGTGTCACTTCTTACAGCAGAGCTGATACACATGAGAAAGAAAGTGGAAATGTCGGATTTTTTGAGGACATTTATCAGTTGCCTGGGTTATTTCTTCTGTAGATCATCTGGGATGAACTGTGAGGAACTGTGGGTAGGAGATTTAAAATCACAAGAAGATAATTTGTACTTCATCTTCCTTCAGTGACCAAGGAAGCAGCAGGCATGCTCTAAATTGATGCTGCATTAAAAAAAACTTTTGCTTCATATGGCTGTAGTAAAATTAAATACTTAGTGAACACTGCATTAAAAAAAATAGAAGATAGAGGAAACCAAAGGAAAGTTGTAGACATTTACAGTAATGTTCCTCGAGATATAAAGAAAGAACTTAAAAACAGCCACTAGGTCACACCACAGGCTGTCTAGACCAGTATCCTGTTTCTAAGAGCAGCGAGTAAAAGATCTCAGAGAGAAAAGTAAATCTGGGATAAGTACAGAGCTGTCCTTCACCTGGTATACTTACTTCCAGCTTTGGCAAGCAGTAGTAGGAAACTTCTGAAACAAAAATACAGACCCTCTTATTCAATAAATACCTGTGAACCCATGCTGCCTGATTTTTGTGGTCCCTTTTGAATATATTTGAGGTTTTGACCCACTTTGGAAGAGTCAGCTTCAGCCTTCAACTTCATAATGAGGTGTCAGAAATAGAATATCCTGAGTTAAAAATTAATCTGCCTTGAAGAAGACTCACTAATAGCTATGTACCTTTCTAAACATACTTGGCAAATTGAGAGATTGCTGTGATGTCCTCATTACTCAATAAGAGAGTCTCTTTTGTTCTCCTCTACTCAAGCAATGTTTGAGTTTTCCCATTACACAGTACATGTTTCATTGTGCAATGGTGCAACTGTCCTGCCCTCAGATATGGGAGTGGACTGGATTGTGACAGCTCCAGCCAGGGCATAGTAATGCTCAAACACTGAAAACTTTGTGACTGGCCTCATCATAAACTGATGCAGCATGTTATGTCACACCCATCTGTGTCTGGTCCATTTTATTCCAGTCTTTTCTAAATGTCGGGCCAGCTCAGTGAGGAGAGAGAAAAGTCAGGGGCCTAAGCTGGGGGACTTTGGGAATGTTATGTTAAGAATCCTTTGAAGAGGAGTGAGGAGAGCCATTCCACAAAAAACCCTTGTCCTACTAAAGGTACAAACAATTCCTTCTCAAATTAATAGTAAGAAAGAGTAGTATATAATTAGGTTGAAAAATCAGGCTAATCTGAAAGAAATAGAGCTAAAATATTAGTATCTTGGAGAGGTGGTTTCTGCTCAGTTGACTGGGCTTGAATAGACTTAAAAATGTTGGTTAGAAAAGGCAGTGACAATGCACAAAATGCAATCTTTCAACAGCAAATGAGATTTTAAGTACTCTACTTAGAGACATTCACTGACAAGTTTTACTTATTTTATCTGAAATTGATCCCAGATTGTTTCCAAAAAATATTAGTAGTATACAGTATATGGATGCCAGTAAAAATAACTGCTGGAAAAAAGTTTTGCTGAGAACATTTTTAGTAAAATATTTAGATTCAGCAAATAGTCTGTAAAACGTACTTTACATGTGCTTGAAACTGAAACAAAAAAGGTCATGGGTTTTTGGTTTTTAAGTAGCAGAACTGCTGGGATTAATCAGAAAAAGGATCAAACAAAAGTAAATTTTAACATAGCTGGCAGTCGTCTGTCACTGGGAGAGTGGACTTATCCATGTATGGCATCTCTTTGCTTTTGATGGTTCGACATTTAAATTAGAACTTTACATTTGGAAGAAAAGGTTTTGCAAAACGAGGTGGGTCAGTATTTGGTAAAGATGCAGTGTTTGCCACCTTCTGAAGTGCATATATGAGAAGAATCATGTTTCAGGAGGATAGGTGACATCACCTAGGACTTCAGAGCTTTCAATATTTATTTTCAAACTAAATCCATATTTTATGATACAAGAATTTTTTTTTTTTTGTAATCTATAGGGTAATTTCCACAAGAGTCTGTTGCATGTGGTTGCATGCACCATAGTTTTCCACAAAAATAAAAGTGCCTCATTCAAGTCTCCAGTATTACAAAGACAGTTGAGAGTGTAGAATGTGACTGTAAGGGGTCAGGAGGTCACGTAGTTCTCCTGTGAGGAGCACACCAGCATTCCTTGTTATGTGATGCAGACTTTGCTTCTAACTTTCATTGTCTGGCTTTTAAATGAAGGATAAGAGTTTAGAAATATGGAAAGATCACATACAACCTCTGTAGAACAAAACAGGTTTCAGAAAACTATGAAAGAACTTTAATATAGATGTATATAAGCTGGAAATAGGAAGGTATGTTTTGGGCATCAGTTATAACAGTTCTACTTAAAAGCACCATTTCTACTTGAAGTGTCCATTTTGGATATTTAACATTGTGTAGTTAAACCAACTGCTCAATGACTAAGAATAGATAACCAGATTGAGAGAAATTCTGATCCACTTCGACTTTGAATTAAAATTGCAGTTTACTCTACACCTGGTTAATAGCAAGTCTTCCTCTCTTCAAGTTACTATTCTTTTCCAAATGCATATGTTGAGTGCAGTGGTTCAAACAGCTCAGGTAAACCAACAGCTTGGAGATATTGTGATAGTTTAAGTAAAATAAACGGGTTTTATTTCCTCACAGTCCTGAAGTCTGTGTTTTAGCAATTCACTGTAAATATGACAAGCTTTCCATAGTGCAGCCTCTAAAACAAACCTGAGCAACTAAGTTTTTAAAAAAAATAAAACACCAGGTGAAGCAGAGCTGAGAACTCCAGTCTGCAAACCAGCACGCAGACTTTTCTGTGCATGGGACATCTCCCCACCAGCCTAGGCGATCAGATAGCTCATGGCAATTAGTTTTAATAAGGCAGTAGTGTGTTCCTAGGTGGAATAGCTGACTCTACTGATTGTTGGCAGCTGCTTCAGGGATTCTGGCTCCTTACATTTAAGAGGAGAGTCATATGACTTCATGCTCAGTTACTGCTTGTTAACTTGACCTTTCCTTTTCCCTCCTCTGTGTACTTTCAGCGTGGGAAACTAGACAGTGCAGCAGTGTCAGTTTAAGGTTCCCCCTGTAGCAGCAGGCAACTTACAGAAGTGGAAATACTCTGGGATGATTACCTGAGTTTGCTTTTGCCTTTGAGTAACTATTAATTGGATGCAGAAAAGTTCTCAGATGCCTACATGTTCAGCCCTGTTCTGGCTGGCCTTCAGTATGGCCAAAGAGCAACTGCATCCATGGAGCGTAATTGCCTGGTTGAGGTAGGTGCTGGTGAAGCAGCTCCTCACAGCAAGTAAGGCTGCCATGCTGGAAGGCATGTGGGGTCACAGGGTGCTCCAAGGGGGATCTCCCCTGTCGGGATGTTTCAAGGGTGCAGTCAGACCAGGGTCCTAGGAACCTGTGCACACAGGCACTGCCTTAAACAAGTGTAAGCCTTCCCAAAAAGCAAAGGTGTCAGTCAAGTGGAGTCTGTCAAATTTACCTTCAGGTAGGAAGATGGAAGCCTGTGGTCTTGGGGTGACTCTTGGGACCAGGATTCAGCTCTGTGACTGGGTAGGTGAAAAAAAAGAAAAAAAAAGTTTGTTGTTATACCCTATTACATTTCCTTATTTTTCTTGGTCAGAGTGTAGGGTCGCAGAAGTCCATCCTGATGTATTTAGGCAAAAGGAGAAAAGGGATATTTAGGTTGGCAAATGAACAGAATTGCTGTCAAAAATAATTTCAGTACTGCCTAACTAATGTTGAGATCTGAGTCTGTCAGCTCTTCCTAAGAAAAGGACTTAATTTTTTTGCATGGTTTGAAAGTTTTGGAGGTAGTTTTACTTTGTTTCCTCCCCTCCCCTTCCCCAGTATCCCTCATACCTGTAAGGGAACAAACAAGCAAACAAACAAACCCAGAGAAATACCAAAGCAACATTGTTTATGTGAATTCAAAAGCAACAGAAAGTACTATAATAGAAAGTCAATCCAAATTGCACTCTCACCTTTGCACTAATTTTGAGCATGAAGCTTCAAGAAAAATAAAAATGCAAATTGGATCTTGGTTACTGGCAATGTTTAATGTTTCAACAGTCATTAGATATGACAGGATTACAAAGGAGGATGGGGAAGCCTTAAGGAGAAAATACTGTTCAGTCCCTCTTGGAAAAGTGGAAGCTGTGCATCATGTTCCACAGGAAAGGCAGCACTACGGCAGCAACAACTCAGACTGTGCATAAGGGAGCTGGAGATTAACAGTGGCTGGAAAGAGGGATTCTGACTCTAATTTCCCTGTTGGCAGTGACAGAGTGGGGTCCTTGCTCTGTTACCTGCTCAAAAGGTTTGATTGTGTGTTGATTTTTTTTTAATCCAGTGCTTATCTACTGCAAAAGCCAGGGAACAGATGCTAGATGTTTATGAACAAGTGACGTTTCTGAGGCATTTGGTGATAAGAAGGTACTCTGTGAAGTACAGAAGTGGTGATTGGCAAATGCATTGTGTGTTAGGATAATAATTTCAAGTCATCAGACATAAGATATCCAATTTGTTGTAATTTACCGACAATCTAGAAAGCTGAGTTTCTGTTCTCTAGCAATTTTTTCCAACCTAACTTAGGTTCCACTTTGTTGGAAGGAAGCAAACAAAAAGGACTCAAAATTTGTTGCAGACTAAGTTGCTGAAGCCTGTAAATGCTCAGCAGTACTGCCACTCCTCCTCCTTTCACTGAACAGCTGCAGGTAGCTTCCAGTTCCCTGACTTCAAGGGAAATTTGGCAGTTTAGTTTTCTTTTTCTTGTCCACTCTGCATTCAAACCGTAGAGGTTGAGAAGTCAAGCCAGGATTAATAGGAGGCAAAAGTACGGTTTTGCACTTCTGCTTTAATTCTTTTGTTAATAAATCTGTTAGAATGTAAGCTACCTCCCACTCAGGTGAGATTAGCTCCTCTGTCCACAGCAGGACTCAAGAACTGTAGAACAACAGGGCTCTAGGGCTGACCTTAGCTAAGAAATCCAGAAGTACAAGGTCCTTAACTATAGAAATCTAGACCAATTACTCTAGTCCAAATGTGGCTAAAAAGCACACATTTTAGACTGATGTTACAGCATGTCCAGCCAGGTCTGGGTATCATGTGATATGGCAAATCCATATCTGTACCATGGATACCTGCCTAACCCTTGAATTTATTCCTGTTATTCCTCCATAGAACATTTCAGTGCTGGAAAACCATCACTGGCGATCTACGATAGGCATGCTGCGAGAGTCACGGCTCCTCGCCCATCTGCCCAAGGAGGTGACGTAAGTGTCCATGGGAAGAAATGCATCACTGAAACTAGTCCATAGCTTCCTTCACTCTTCTTAAAAGGATACTAGCAAAGAGGCACAGGCTTCAGAATAGGCTGAACTTCCTGCCCTCACTTGGTGCCAGTGTGAAATCATGAGACAAAGTTATACAGCAGAAGTGTTTTCTAAGACCTAGCCGCTTCTGCAGCACAGGAATGGCTATTCTCAGCACCAGGAGCATAGGGAGGCCCAGCAGAAGTGGAGCTTTTCAGATCAATTGTTGGCATTTTTCATTTTACATAGCACTAACTGAGTATGGAAAGATTTAGTGATTAAAAAGCATGAAATAGGAAATTGAAGGAGTTGGTCAAATAGCATCAAGACTGCTCAGGACTTCCATGCCTGCCTGCGAAAGCATGGTCCAGCCTTCATGGGTGAAGCAAAAAAAAGCAACAACATGAGCACCTTGGCCAAGTTGCTGCTAGCTTTGTATCTGCTGGTTTTGTGTAGTACTAGTCCCACTGAGGAATGGAGGTTGAACCAATGAACAGACTGCGATACTAAATTTTAAATCACAGGTCACCTTACCAAGAATATAAACAAGTTACCTAGAAGCAATAAGCTTTGTATCTCTCCAGAAATTCTTTGCATCAGACAGTTGCATCCACCTTCAGTTGGACTTCAGTCCAGACCTTCACAACTTTGACTGCAACTTCAAAGTTGCAGTATTAACTACTCAGCTCTGAGCAGCTGAAGTAAGACATGAGCATTTTTCTTGATGCATGCATCATGCTGTTGTTTTGAGGTGTTTTTTTGTACTTTCCTAGCACTTTTCAGAAGCTTTCAGAACAGCCTGTGCCAACAAGCATTTTTCGTCTACATTATCTATTCCTCTTGAACCCATTTAGGCAGGTAGAATGGTTGTACTTGGCAAACCCCAGCAGAGACTGACCAAACAGATCAGACTGGATCCATAAAGAAAGAGGAAGCTTTATGCTAGCTGTGATCCATAGCAGGTTGTTTTGAGCTATTAATGTTCAATGGTTCCATGATTAAAGGGGCTTATTTTCCTCCATTGCAGACAGGACATCGAGCAGCAGTTGGGATCCCTGATCTTGGCAACAGACATCAACAGGCAGAATGAGTTTTTGATCCGTCTGAAATCTCACCTTGACAATCAGGATTTGAGGCTGGAGGATGCACAAGACAGACATTTTATGCTTCAGGTAACTTCAAAAGATATTTTTTCACTATTATTTTTACTCATTTTTAAAGTCACAGTATTTCCTATTATATGTTGGAGTAGCATATGATGGCATGTCTGGACATCAGCCTCTCTCTATTACCATAAACACTTTCTTTCTGCCACCTGGCATGTAAGGCAAGCATAAGGTGCCTCCAATATTTCCTTTTGTAATTTCCTTGAGTTAAAAAGTTGTGAATACAACAGATAGAGGAGTGTGTCAAATGCTAGGAAATAAACTAGAGATAAGCTAGTAATTATTTTATTTCCAGAACACTGCTTCTCTTGCCAGGTAATGCTTCGATTGTAGTGTCTCTCTCTCCACTGGTGTTATTTTCTAGCACCATGCAGGAGAGCCCCCTTATTGGTGTGTTTACCAGCACAGCGTGACATCACGTGTCCAAGTCCTGGTCCTGTGATGGACACTCAGGAACTGCCTCTGCAGAGACAGCTGTTGCCATGGCAGCAGATGCTTCTCTAGAGCATCTCCCCAGCTAATGAAAAAACCATGCTTTATTAAAAAATGAAATAGATTCACACTGTTTCTTCCAGTTAAGCTGCAGTCATTAGCAGACTCTTCAGAATAAACCTCGACCTATTAAAGCATTATTGTGATTAAAGTAGCTGCATATACTTGCTTCTTTGGAGAAATTACATTAATTTCATTCTTAAGTCCATAAAGAAGTTGAAGTAATCATTATCATTTATAAAACAAATACCTACATGTTTTCCTTTTGTCAAAGTTACAGTTCCTTACTGTTGCAAGGAAAGAAATGCTGATCTGGTAATTCTTACCCCTCCTGCTCACCTGTCCTGCATCAAACAGTCATCTGTCAGATTCCTGCATAGATCATGCAGGGCAGGATGACAGGCTTATTATATTTCTGGACAGATTAGGCAAGAAAGTTGTGCAAATGCCAAAAGCAGAGGAATTACAGTTCTCAACTGTGGCAAAAAGGTTTCTTATGTGCTTTCTTGAAAATAGGAACTAGGGAACAGACATGATGAGATTTACTTATCTAGTGGATTAGTTGTGGAAGAAGAAAAGAAAAAATCAAGGAATCTTGATTGATCGGAATAAGCTAAAGAATGTCTGAAAGGTCCTTGTAATAGATAGTAATATTAGGGCTAATAAGCTTAATCCAGAGAGAAGAATAACTTGGAGACTTCCCTCTTCTGGTTCACAGGTCTGAATTTATACAGGAAATGTTTCTTATGTTTTCTTCGTGGGTGCCAGAATGACTTCTGACTTCTGTCAGGCTAACTGACTGTGTTCATGACATGAACATCTTGTTCAAAGGCAGTAAGACAGGCAGACTAATACATGGTTTACTTTTGTGAAATAGTCACTTGATTTTAAAAACCTCTTGCCCTACTGTACACATTCCCCTGCAAAGCACTTAAAAGTACTAGTTAACTAAGTGAAACCAAGCCGGGGCAGTGCTGAGAGCCCTATGCTCGGCTTTGTAAACAAAAATGTGCAGACATTAAGATGAAGCGTAATTGAAATGAGATGCAAGGTCACTCTTTGAGACTGCAGAGAAATGATGCCTAAATATACCAGCTTGGCTCTTCCCTTCCTTGTCATCAGCCATGGATGCTGAGCCAAGCAGTCAGCAGGAGCCAGCCTGAGGCTTTTGCTGGCGTATTCCTTCCAAGGAATATCCAAAACACTTTGCAGCCTTGGAATTTGGCCCTCCTCTTGTTCTCACTACGGTAAAGCAGAGTGCTGAATGAAAGTTTTGTTTGCAGCTTAAATAAATGCTCTTTTCTCAAAGGGCACGTTTGGGTGAGGTTGAGTCTCTAAAAGGTAATCTTAACCCTTCCCAGCATTGCTGGTGAGGCCTGGGAGTTTCATGACTGCAGATTTACTACTGAAGCATTGCTATAGAGTAACTTCTTTTCTCACTCCTACTTTTCTTCTTGCTTTCAGATTGCACTCAAGTGTGCTGACATTTGCAACCCTTGCCGGCTCTGGGATCTGAGCAAACAGTGGAGTGAACGGGTCTGCGAAGAGTTTTACCGGCAAGGTCAGCCCCTTTGACTCAGAGCAGTCCCCTTTTACCTCAGATTTCCGTGGGTTTTGTGTGACGAGTCAGAGGTAGAATTCAGCATAACCACCTTGCCTTGAAATGTCCCTCGAGGATGAGATGTTGAGATACGCTGCCTCACTGGAAAAGTGGCAAGGGGCAGAAGAGCAGCAAATGTTTCTCTGCCCTCGCTGTTCCTCTACCAGCATCAGGCAAGAGGGACGGCTCTGCTGTGCCTCAGCACTGGAATTCAGCTTAAGAGCCCACGTCTAGGTTTTCCTCTGAGAGCCCTCCGGTCACCATTGGCATTTCTGAGCTGGAGCAGTGCCAGGGCCACACTGCCCCAAAATCCTACTGCTGTCCACTATGTTTTATCTCGCTTTTCATGCTCCCACTACAACTCTGATGGGAGCCTTACCCTCACTGTTTCCCAAGTATGACACATTCTTTTGCCTACAAATGGAGAGAAAGGGTTCAAACACTCTTCTCAGCACGCTGTTGAAAGGGCCAAAGCAGGCAAGCCAAACCTCAGCTAGAACCTATTGCAAATGTTTTCAAACCCCTGCAGAGAGCATAGTCAGGCGGGTTTTTTTGAAACACAGTAATTACACCATTTGGCTCTATCTGCATAGGCAAGGTCATTCTGTGCTACAACACAAGATGCAGCAGAGTTTAATCACTGCTAAATTCTTTGTTCAGACCATCCTGAGAGTTGAAGGCAAGCAGTACAAACGCTAGAAAAGCACGCAATAAAATTCTCAGTTCATTTGAAATTTTGCACTACAAAATTAAGCCACATCCAAACTGGTACCTGATACAGTTATTCCATAGCAAGGACAAATAGATCAGCAAGTTAATTTTCAGCAAGCGTCAGTTTCAGCTGGTAAAGTGTCTTTGGCTTTGATGCCTTTGAAGCAACATAAGCAACTTGCCAGATGCAGGTTTATTTAGTCAGATGTATAGTCAAGGCATAATCAATATCCAGCTCATGAGAACAGGGCCCCAGTGATGTGGTACCTTAGTGTACTGAGGGACCATGATGAGAAATCACTCTCATCTCCTATAAATGTAAGCTTTTTCCACAGCCCTCAAGATTTATTAGTCTAACAGCTAAAATATACCTCTGAAAGGAGACACCCGAGTCTATGAGACCCATTAGAAGCATGAAAGGGAGAAAAAGAACATTTCATGTGGGACAATATACAGAAACTGTGGTCTGACTATCACTAGTGGCTGTATAATCCTGTTAAGTGATACAAAAACCCCCAATGTATTTAGATACCATTGTCACTTTAAAATGTTTTTGTAGATCTCTCTACCCCTTTACACACAGTGCTGGGGCTTGAAAGTATTTTTTGGCACTAAGTTTAACATTTGAAAACCATAGCTCTCATGTTTTGATTTTTAACTATAGATGATACTGAGAATACCACAACTAGTGCCTTGTTTAATCTTCCTTCTGGAACAAAGTTTTAACATTTTGTATCAAACATTTTTTATTCCATTTTAATAGAGACTCAGATCCTGATCTTCTAGTCTTCTGGTGCATCTACGCTACATCTGTTAGTAAATAAAATATACAACCCAGGTACATTTCAGGGAGCACCTGATGCCTACAGCAGCTCCTAACAAACTTTCTTTAGAAAAATACTTTAACTTGTTCTCAGATGATTTAAAAGTCAGTTAGGAAGACAAGGTAAGTAATGCAACTTGATTTATTTATATGAAACTGGAACTGGTAAGAAAAAGTTTCAAGAAAATGGCTGTCGTGGTTTGAGCTCCTCCAAAAACCCACGACAATGGCTAATGTTTAAGCAACATTAATGATCAGTTTCTCTTATGATGTTTTACAATTGCTTGGAAGATTTTACCCACCATGAAAGTTTTCAGAAACTAATTCATGCAGTTCCTTCTACAGCAACTTGAAGCATAAGAAAATTGACCATCATTTTAAGTTCTTACCATACAAAGGAAAATCTTACTTTTGTCAATTAAATTACTTCTCAAAGACAAGAAGATGTTGATACATTTTGAGCCAGACAGGTCAACCATTTTCAACCCAGAATACCTACAGAGGGGATGTCACTGGAGTTAGACACTTTTTTCAGTCAAAAAGTTTTGGAAGGTAGATGAGAAGATGACAGTCAAACTGCACATTTGGAAACATGACAAACAGTTACTTTGTGTCAGTTTTGCTAAATTGTTCCTTTTGCTGTTTATGAAGCTAAAAATGTTTCCCTGATATTTTCTAAATAGCTAATTACAACTGAAAATACTCACATTTAAGAAGAAATTGCATGCTGCAGAGAGAAGAAAGGCAAGGCTTAAAAATGCACATGATGTTTTATATGGGACTATAGAACCTAAGTAGCACAATAGCATTTAAATCAAAACTGTTAGTGGGGAGAAAAGAGCTTTTAAACAAAACCAGTGGATTTAAAGCAAAATATTTCTTTATTGGGTTTTGCAGTGTTTTGCCTGAACTAGCAAGTCTTTCTTACAGGCAAGTTTTGCCTAACCAGCCCTCACTACATTCTTATTAGTGAATCAGATGGACAAAATACTTGTTTTCTGAGGGGAAGGGGCACATCTTAGCTTGCACACACTTAACTCTCACTTCCCTTCCATACTGTAGACAGGAAAGTAATCAGGATTGTACACTGGCAGAGAAAACTAAAAATCACAAAGGATGAATGTGTTGCACTCACAAACAGAGTTTGTTTAAAAAACAAAAACACACTCAAAACTTTACTCGCTTATAGCGATCTTTGTATGACGTAATTGCAGGCACAAGGAAATGCCACCTCTCCAGCTGAACAAGTGACTGTTGTCTGGATGACAATGAGCAAACGAGACTCTCTGAGATGTTTTTCTGCTGAATTCTTAAATCCAGCTGGCCTGTGGTCTTCTGTGACCACTCCAGTATACACATGGTCATTGCTATTGATTACCTTCAACTCCATAAAAAATATCTTCTGTCATAGCTATATACAACCCTGTGTGGCTGTTTCTGCAGAAATAGTTTCTACTGACTGTTTATAAGCATCATCTCAATGCCAAATCTGACCAGTTCTGCATCAGGAGCAATCTGATGTGGCATCTGGAGTGAGCAGATCCCCCAGCCAACTCACACTACAGTACTACTGGAGGCACATTTCTTCTAAAATTTATATTCTGCAGTTTTCTGTTAGGAAGATATTTGAGTAAATGAACTAGTGAATGAAGTAAATGAACTATAGAACGTCTTAAAGGTCTTTCACATGAGGGACTCTATTTTAAAAGTCCTCAGAACACTTACATGCTCAGATTTAATGTTCATTCAAAAGTTATCCTTTCTTAGATTTTTCTTTGTATGGATAATCAGTTTCTCTAATACCTAAAAAGTCCAGAAAGGGAAGGTATTTAGACATCTGACATGGTCATCATTGGTAGAAGATTCCAACTGCTCAAATTCACACAGTTGCAGTCACTGTAAGAGTGTGGCATAGGTTTGGAGAAGGGATAAAAGTGGCACAAAAATATTTGCTCTTCTTTTTTTTTTTGCAGGTGATCTAGAACAAAAATTTGAACTGGAAATAAGCCCCCTTTGTAATCAGCAGAAGGATACAATACCAAGCATACAGATTGGTAAGTATTTAATTCTCTTCATGTTTATCTCACTATGGCACAAGCTCAAAGAGAAGCTTTTCTCCACCACCCGCTCCACCCCACTCTAGTTGTGGATACCATAAGAGTTACAAAACATGTTCTAAATTAAAATGTTCAAAAAGAAACCTATCTAAGCCAAATGTTCAACAGAAAGACAAAGGAGTTATTGCACAGGGGAAAAAGTGTCCATGGAGAAAAATTGCAGCCAATGTGTGATTAAACACTGGTTACTTTCTTGTCTGAAATCTCAGAGGGATGCTGACTTTCACAGATTTTACTGTTACACATGCAGATAAAGCCATGTCTTGTCATGTATGCTGGTCAAAAGCTGTGCATTTCAAAAGGAATCCATGTCTGTTTGAGGGTTTATTGTTATTTCTTATCAGGGTTTTTGCCACTTACATTGCTCTCAAGGCACTCTGTGAACAGCTTTGTTGCTCATCAGGTGTCCCTTGTGTGTTTCCCCAGGGTTCATGACATACATCGTTGAGCCACTCTTTGAGAGGTGGGCCCAGTTTACAGGCGATACTCCCCTATCTGAAAATATGCTAAACCATCTCAGGAGGAACAAGGCCAAGTGGAGAAGCTTGCTCCACAAGCAACACAGCAGTAGTAGGAGCAATGACCACTCAGGTCAAGTGACTGGCAGCCAGGAACAGACTTTAAATGAAGAAGAGACTCCTTAGTGGCAGCTTTGCACTTTTCCTTATAGCACTGCTATCTCCGTTTTGGTCACAGCAGCAAGTAAGATCCCAAGTAGCCAGGAGCCTGTTGTTGAAACCGTGCGAAGGGAAGAAATGGCAAAGCAGAAGCTGTAAGGGTCCTCACCAACAAGCCCGAGGTTCTGCTGGTTTCTTTCTGATCCTCACGTTCCGTTCCTCTCCCCTCTCTTCGTCCTGCGCATGCCTGATGTCATCCATCACTCCTGACCACGAACTGTCCGAATGCGGAGTCCCAGTCAGTAGTAGTTACGGCTGCCGTGAAGTAGGGAGGATTCCTGAGAGAGAAGGGGAGACAGAGAGGTACTCTTGGTTATATATTCATTTACCACAAGTCATACTGTGACATATGTATATAGGCCCAGAGCACCACACATGTTCCAGGCTGGCAGCTGGGCTGCACATTAAACCACCAGCATCTTCAGCATCCAGAGGACACAGGCTGACAGATGGTGCTCACAGAGGGCAGAGAGAGTCTGGTTGTTTTAGTAATTAAAACAAAAACCTTTTTAACTTTTGTATTCTGTGCACTAAACAACAGATCTAAAAACCTTGGACTGAAGTTACTCTCTGTATACATGCCTCCAGTGTAACAAGGCTCATTTTGGTAATCATTTTTATGCCACTTTGGATAAAAGACGGGCATCTTCTCATTGCAAGGAACAGTATTCCCTCACAACCAAAAGGGAAGGTGTAGTACAGTCTAAACCTTTGAAACATGAACAGATCTATCTTTTGAGTACTGTTTCAAGTAACCTGTTTATATTCATATGTGTACATTTTCTGTAAATACAAAGCGCTACTGATTCCCATGCCAAAATACTGGAGTACTGTGGGATTGCTACCTGTAAAAACATTGGCACTGTGAACAGAATACTGTTAGTTTTAATACAAGAGAAAGCATTTGTAAATATGGTATAGAGTTTATTAATATACACCATTGTTTGTGGATAAAAGCCTTAACTTTTAGCATCCTTCATAGCTGCCAAAATCATATGATTACAAGATACGATTCTGAACTGCCTTTCCACTATCCAAGGTGTATCAAAGGTCATTAAGGAATGAAGTCTGGCAGGATAACTTCTTGAAAACTTCAAACACATTCCATATGGGTCCATGTTGTTAATCCATGGCACCTTGCACATTTGGTCTAGGCAAATGTTTCACAGAGCCTGAAGTTCAAAAAAACCCGAGCCTCACAGCAACACCACATGATTTGACAGTTCAACCTGATTACCATTTATTCAAGCGTGTGAATTTTTACTAAATAGCTTAGTGGTCTACAAAGCACGACATTCAGTAGTTCTGGAGTCCAGTTGTTTTCTCAAGAGATGTTGCAGTGTAGCTGATTTTTCCCCCCATTCCCTTCTTAGATAGCCAGTGTCAAAATGCATTTGTATTTTTCTTGTAATTTAAATAATACTTCAACTGACTTTTAGATTGGTCTCATCAATGAAGGAAAAAAATCTGTTGCAGTCAGACTATTAAGAAAAATCTCTTAACTGTCATAGTAGCTGAGGAATTTTCTATGATCTTGTGTTTGTGAAAGATACATGGCCTTAACTATGCCATAAACAACCTCAGTTTGGAAAGTCTTTATAAAACTTAAGCTTCCATCATTTCAATGAGATTGTATTCTCAAGTGGTAGTCCCCTTCTCCTCTGCCCCCAGTAAAAATAACTGCACTCAGGTGAAGTATAGTGTTGTAAACCTCCAGTACATCAAATCTGGATAGCTGTTTTCCAAAAGAACTAGCAGATATGGCCATATAATTATGTTTGGATGTGAATACCTTGAAGAGGTCAACAAAGAAAGAGCTATTTAAGTCGGTGTTTGAGAAAGATATTTACTCATAAAAGTGCAAGGGGAGATATAATAGATTTTTCTCAATTACAGGGGATATTGATAAGAGAAAGTTCATGCTCAGAAGGTGACTAATATGTTTAAAGGAAAATAAAAAGCATAAGTTTTAGTAAAGTATGTTTTACTCTAATTCTTTGTGTGTATCTTAAGAGAAAGAAGCTGAAACCCAGTGAAGTAGGAGGGTGGAAAACACTGTGAGAACAAAAAGCACTCCAAGAATGATGTTTTTCTTCCCCCTCTACTGTTACATAAGGTATAACCAGTAGAAAATCTCTTTCTTCCTCCCACTTCTAGATGAGACTCACATATTAGAAGGACCACAGCAAGCAGAGAGAGAGAGAGAGAGAGAGAGAGAGAGAGAGTTGTAATATAATTAAATTGTTTCTAACTACAGGATGTAATTTCTTCTTAACCACCTGATGGTAGGGGCAGAAGCATCGCCATTTTGCAGCTTTTTAGGTGTATCTTTCCTTCTGACAGATTTAGGACAATTATTAGGACATTACACAAGCAGTGTAATGTGCTGCTTAGAAGCACTTAAGTACATACAAAAGGATATAATTTCCCTTGTTTTGTCTTTTTACTAAGAAATGAAAGCCCTTTTCCTTCTAGTTCAAAGAAATTTTTTACAATGTTCTGAAATTTAGTTAAACAAACACAGTGTCTAGCAGCATAAAAAGCTCTTGACAGAGACATTGTTGAGCTGTTTCTGAAGAGCTTCCAGAAAATAGGTCCAGCAGGTACAAATGAAATTTTGTTACAGCTACATTAAACTCAAGCCTTTTTCTACAAGTGGAGCCTACAGTCCATTACAAGTTTGCTCTTACCAAGCTAAAACTTTTCAACTTTAAAAAGCTGCTCTGAAAATTGTGGGGGATTTTGGCACACTGATTTGCTAGATTTCATACCTGCTAGATTTCAGTCACCTTGTCTAATGACATAGTGCTTGAAATAGGTTCAGGGTGGCTCCAGCAATGCTTCTGTACTTGTGAGCCAAACCTATTACACAAATTTGGGTCTGGCCAGTTTGCCTCAGGTGTTCCAGACAGAGGTGTGCTGAAAAGTTGGGCTCTGGCAGCAGATTCCTGGCAGCCAAATTCACTGGGGTCTGTGATGCAAAGTGCTACCTTCTGATTTCCCTTAGAAGCCAAACAATGACCGATAACAGCCAATCCAACAACACCAGTGTTCAGTATATGTGGTTGTGATACACACTTGGTATTCTGTAGTTTGGAGGGCATTTCTGCACCAGGTTTTCTCCCCAGGATGCCAACAGAATGCTGATGCACAGAATATAAAAAACTATGCAGATAATACAGATTTCTGTGTTTTCAGCCCCATTAGCCACTTTACAGAAAGCCTTTGTACAGTGTTTTTCCTTCTTACTGGGCCAGTGCAGGTAAAAGATTTTGAAGTTTTTTTAAAACTGAGTTAAGGTTTCCATATATGGAAAGAAAAAGAAAACTACTAAAAGCAAGAGGTCAAAATGTTTTTATGGCTCACAACTGCAATTCATTTGATTAAAATCTAGCTTCTTTAAATGAAGATTTCATATCATCAAAGAAGAAATTTTGTATAATTAAGAACAATAATAAGTGATGATAAATGATAAGTGAAAATTTTAGGCTGGTTAAAATAATGCATACATATGCATTGTCAATAAGTCAAGATTTTACTTACCTTTGGGTTTTTAAGTGTCAATAGTCCAGCCACCAGCCAAAAGGACTATTAAAAACATGTATCTTTGGAATAAAGGAACAAAGAGAGGAGTAGCTGAAATGGAGTCTATGGAGGAAAAAGAAAAAAATAAAACACATGATCTGCCATTGTATCTAACCTAATCTACAACACAGGTCAATTATTTTTGTATGAACTTGTGATTTTCATGAAGAAAACCAAGACCTCCCCAATGATTAGTAGCAGTGAAAGCTGTTACCACAGTAAATAAGATATGCCCACTGCATAGCTATCTTACCAGCTTTTCCAGTCTGTGGTTGAAATTTCTGTTAAATGTTTCTGTCAAATTAGACACAAAATGCACACCAGCCCTTCCGAATGGATTCTTCTAAGAAAGGAGAAACACTCAAGTAGTTACAATTTTATTTTCAGGTACCAGCCAGGGTACCAGCCATAATTTATAGCCTGATATTTTAAGTCACTCAGCTGAGTTGTCCATAAAATATGCCCATTCTTCTCCTCATACCACCATCCCCCACTCATGGCCCACAAAAATCAATAATTAAATTTGAATGAAGATCCTGCAAATCCAAAAAAAGCCACCCCAAACAGAAACAAAACAAAACCACAAGGCAAGTTTCATGCCATGAATATGTATTCAAATTACTTTGATTGGTGCAAACTGTTACTCTATTATTTGTTTCTATAATCCATCCAATATTTTAGGTACATAAACTTTTAAGTGCAGAGCATAAGTTTGACTTGGATGTAAAATATATTCTGCTTATCTTTGAATTCAAGATTGTATATGTCATGTTTATTGTAAAGCATTTTATATATACATATTTGCATATCTTAGACAACTCTTTGGGCCAAAAACTGGTCCCCTCAACTTCACTGGGACCAAGAATCAGCCCCCGTATGTGCGTATATATGCCATATGCATCATTCTGAAAGGAAGCACTAGATTGTGTGAAAATGCTGTGACTGCTATGCAGTGATGCCAAGAGACTTAACTGTATCTTTTTTAACATACTGCTGTAAGTATTCATCATGTCAAAGAATGACAACTAATAAAAAAAAAGAAGTGTCTCAAGTTCTTTGATAAAGCCAGTTGATTGAAGCATCTCCTTAGTTTGCAGAAAACATCCTGGTTTGACAAAACAGCAAAATTCCTGCTGCATCCATCCTCCCACTGTCTCTCCTTCTTACCAGCAGAATAATCCCTTTCCTAGTGCGCTGTTTCTGAGAAGAACTTTTCTCTAAATTTACCCTTAGCCTTGCTGTATGAATTTAAATGGACTTACGAGCAAGAAAAGTATTTCCATATAGTTTTCCTAAGCATATAGTAAAAGGATTTTCAAGCCCCAGGAAAAATGTCTTCCTGTTCAAGTATTTAAAGAAGAGAGAGTTGTCTTTTACTATTGTTTCAGTTCCAGTAATGAGTTCTCCTTCCTATCATTGGTCAATGTCCATTTTCTCATTTCTCAGTTTCAGACCATATTATTTATATGTGCAAAATGACAAAGGCTTTTGAAGTTTAATTGAAAATATGAAAAGCATTAATGTTCTACACCGGTAATTATTTCTGAGTGAGAAATACTTAATATTTGTCACTTCAGGGACTTGACTTTGACACATCTTTAAAGCCAGAATTTATTTGTACATCAGATCTTTAGTAACAACACTCACGTGGTTTGTGCCATGCGAATACTACAATTGAATCAAATATAGGAGCTGGAAATATATTTTTGAGTTAAGTGCTATTTAGCCAACATTTTAAATTTATTTTCCTTAAAAAAACCACCCTTCAGAATCATAAGAAGTTTTTTCATATGTCCCCCAGACGCAAGTTGAATTGCAGAATGCACTCTAGAATGAAGCCCCTTAGAGATTAGGGATGGAGTTGTGATGGTTTCTCCAGGAGCAGTTTTACACAGTCAGCATTGGAAAACCACTCAGTTTTCCATAACAGCTTTAACAGTGTTATTTTCAAGTACAGTTAAGTCAATACATGTTCCCACTCTGCACAGACATTGGATGGATGGATGCTGATGTTTAATGGTTCAAAACAAATAACGTACACTAGCAAGTTGAAATGTATGAATGAACAACAAAAGGAAAAATAGTTATATGGCAATATTTTTGTCCTGGCCAAATACTTAACTGTGCTTTAAAGCTCAGGTGGAGAATCTTGGAAATATAACTATTCATTAAGAAAAGAAACAATGCAATATGCAAGTGACAAACAATTATTTAGGTGACAGACACTCCTTTTACCTCTCCAATGTCCACCACAGTCCAATCCTCTCCAAGATAAAACAAGTGCAGTTACAAAATACACTGTTTTTAGCAACAAAGCAGGTTTATGGTGTCTCCACTTCTACTCATCTCTATCTTTCAATGATGTTGTATACAGTACAGTCTCAAACAGCTATTTAGGTACAGACAGATAGAAAATAAACCACAGGATAGGAAAAGGCTTTAAAAAAAAAAGGCTCTGCCAGTAAAACCAATGCATCCTTACTATATATATCCTGGGGTAGTTTGGATCTCAGGCAGAGTTATACTAAACAGCATGCAACACCTTAATCCGAGACAATTGAAATTTTCTACCAGCGGCACCACCTCCTAAAAGCTACCTTGGGTGTCTACACAGGGCTGTGTAGACCTACGCACATAAGGAAGTGAGTATCACAACAGCAGATAAATTTTGTGTCAGATTTTATAGTAATACACTTTAGAGAGAAGATTTGAAACTTGTACCCTACAGAGCTCTAAATATATTGTACTAGATTACGAAGGGGATCTGGGTGTCTTACGAAGTTGTAACTAAAATGGAGTATTAGAATTCATACAGAGGAGTTGTCCTATTATTTCTACCACTCCTACTACCCAGAGATAAATTCAATGCCATCATTTGCATACCAATCATCCCTCTCTAGAAAGTGCAAGTACAAGAGTGGGAAGTGCAAAGGGTGGCAAAAAGTAATTTGAATCACGAAAAACCTCCAGAAAGGAGAGACAGAGGAAAAAAGACTCTAGCTTCATTAGTACCATGTATTAAAAAAAACCCAGAACATTTGGGCAGACTGAGAGCTTCTGCTTTCCCCAGATCAAAACACAGGTAAAAGAAAGTAAAGCAGTACATATGGAAGTTGTTGCCCCAAGAATACATTAACCTTTAACCACATAGTAAAGTTTAAAAGAACATTGAACATTTATATGAACAAAAAGAAAATTCATGGTTACAAATAAATATTACTAACATCATAATCCTGAAGAAAATGCACTATAATACTTAAATCCACCTTTAGTTTAAAATGATGCTTTCCTGCCCTACTCATGCAGCTTAGCAGCTGTTCCAGTTCAAATCCAGACTTTCCATTTTTATGTGCAGAGGATTCCTATGAGCTTAGCTCATTCATAAGCATATTTATGAAAGAGATATAGTTACCAAAAAGAAAAATCTAGTGCTACACCTACACATGCCCAGCCTCATTTCTATAGCCAGACCTACCAACACCTGCAGACAAATGCAGGGGTAGTCATGTCAGGCAATCAAAATCCAAAGAAAATAGGAAGTACTGAAACATATGGTAGATTCAAAGGCAGATTCAAAAAGAAAATATTGTCCCAAAGACCCCTTGTCTGGATCTTTCATGTTTTGCATTGGACAAATATATTTCAAGTCAATCCTTAGAAGGAGGAGAAGAAAATAGATATATTGGTATCATCAACTGAGACCAAAACATGAGTGGAATTACTTTGTTTAAAATGTACTGTTTTGCTGGGACAAGGTTCCAAGTATACAAGTACTTCAGGACTTGGACACTGTCCTCTATGGTACCTGTGCACAACACATTTATTTCCCCCAGTGTATCAGAAAAGTCACCACCACCAGTTCTACCATTTCTGCATGAAACATTAAGAAGTGGTCATCTGCACTACGTGCTTTGAAGTATCTTTTATCAGCACTAACACTGAATTAAGATGCACATGGATGTCTGTGCCAACTGCCAACTGTGCAGCTCCCACATTAAAAGGAAATCTTCCTCAACAATGCCAGTAGCTGAAGACTGCCTATGTAAAGACAGATCTTAAACAAATCAAGAAACATAAGGAAGATCTGGGATGGGTACATCAGCCACTCAAAACAGCTAAGTGACATTGGCACATTGTATACTTCAGGTGCATAAAGGTGTGTACAAGAGTTTTAACATAGCAAATATACTTCCGTCATTTATCTTCATTATAGCTACAAAGATAATACACACAGAAATTATATCACCTGAAGGTATTAGTGAATTAAAGTGAAGAAACCTGGAAAAAAAGCTGTATAGTTGACTTCCTTCTGTACTCAATCCTCAAATTCTTTGTTTGGTCAATCAGGAGTCCTATCTGGAGATGACTAAAAATGGCTATCAAGCCTCATTTTTATCTTCTTGGATCTCTTGCCCCCACTTCCCTCCTCTGCATACCTAATTATGGTCAGCTTCTTGAAAACACCAACTAATCAGAAGCAACACAAAAAAATAATTTGATTTGGGAAATTATGGTATTTATTATGTTTCCAATCATATGTTATGTTCTTTTAAAAAGCAGTGTGATTTCCCCCCCCTCCGGAAAAAAAGGAATTCTTTCTTCTCTGAGATGCTCTGGATTGGGCTAGAAGAGAAAAAGTTCAGAAATGCAGAGTATCTCATGCAAGAAAGCCACAGCAAGAAGTTCACAGCTCACTTGGAGAATGCAGCAAGTAAATAAAATTCTTGTGAGCCTTCATTGTCAGCCAGACATGAGAGGGGCCTAAGAGACTTTACTACAACTCAGAATGGTATTAAGTGGAAGCAAGAACTCGTATGCAAGGGCACAACCCCTTTTTTGTTTTCTGTCTTCCTTGATAATTTCTGTGTTCTCCCTTGATAAAACTATGGAGGTTTTATTGTAATAAAGCCTGATTTTTTGATTTCAACAGAAACAGTTTCCTGAGGCTCAGATCCGCTTCAATTCCTGTACCACTTTTTATTAAGCATACTTTACTATAGTATGAAATATTTTCTTTTTTTTTAAGAGCATTTCAGTTTTATGGAACAGTAGTTAATAATATTACTATTAATGTTTGCTTAGGATGGAGCATAAAAAAGTGTCTGGACTTCAGCTGCCTTTTGCCAAATCCTCCATCTGCCCAAGACCTAAAGATATTGCAATATAATCTTGTGTTACCAACAATCTCCATTTTCTTTTGAACGGTTCCACTACTTAGGCTTATATGTTGGCAAGTTTGAAATATAAACTACTAACAAAATGATCTGACATTTTGACTATGGCAACTCAACAGTCACATTGTATGTGAAATGCTAGATAAATTTATTTATTTGCACTGTGGCTAAATTTCGGAGCACTCTAGTTATGGATTAGGACACCACAAGGGTCCCCACTGCTCCCACCTTAAGTCTTCACAATAGAAATAATCTAAAAACAGGTTCAAGAAGAAAACAGTTCAAGAAGAAAACCACCACAGATCATGTAGAGAGCTAGATGTGAAAGGACAGCTTTTACTTCAATGCTAAAGGAGCATAACTTCTATGGTTTTGTGGAAAAAGCAAATTGATCACCTCCAAGTACCTTAAAAAAACCTGTTCATCTTGTTGGGTTTCTGATTTCTATTTTTTTTTTCATTTATTCCCTCACCAATCCAACTGCAATTCTTTCTTTCTGATACTTCAGTGTCATTAATTTAAAGGGAGAGCTTACATTATCACTCTTGAGTTACTTGACAGTTTCAAGTTTTGCCTGTGGGTGTTATATTGCTCTCAGGGACATCTTATATAATAATGCAGATATCATTTTTTAGCTGGCACAGCACATCTATAAACTTAAATTTTACTGAGATCCATGACAGAATGAAATCTTCTCAAATAGCTGAATATCAGCAAGGAGTTTGAACCTTCAAGCGTAGCACAAGCTCCTCCCTCTGCGAAACTAATACTTTTGAGATTAAAACAAATATGTTAGTGAGAGCTGTTCTCTTTTTAAGACAACCTATGATAAATACACCAGAAAATAAACATCAGGGGCTGAGAAGGAAGGCACCAT